CGCACTCGAATGTATTATATGTATATTATATATACATATATAAAATAAATATTATTTATATTATATATTAGCTATATATATATATTTATGAATATATATGAATATATTTATAAATATATATGTATATATATTTGCAATTATCAATGAAAATCACAGCATGTTCCGCGTTAGTTAGCTTCCTATTTAATTTTTCGATTTTTCTAACGGTAGATCGTAAATCATTGTCAAGTTTCTTGAGTTCAAAGCCAAAAAAGATTTATTTGTATTTCTATACCATCTTCGGTGATCGAATTGATACGTTGTGTATGTGGCCAGATGCTCAAATATAAATATTTAAATTTATATATTCCTCTGCAATGTTAATTCTTTGTTTGTTTAAAGTGAATTAACAAAGAATTGACAAAGAACTAGCTTTGTAGAGACATAGTATATATATACTTGAGCATTTGGTCACAACGTATCAATTGAAACACCGAAGATGGTTTAGGAATACCGAAAAAAGCTTTTCTGTTCTACCATGCTTAAAATTAGAAAAATCAAAAAATTAAACAAGAGGGTAACTAACTAATGCCGAACATGCTGTGATTTTCATGAATAATTGCATTTCTGACAGTCTTAATCCTATATGTATGTATGTATGTATATATATATGTATGTATGTATGTATATATATATATATATATATATATATATATATATTCGATTACTCAATACTTTGATTACTTGATTGGCTTTCAATATTGGTAGTCTTTATTGAAAATTAAATGAATAAATTAATTATATATAATAAATCTTTTATTTATTAATTTATTTCATTAATTTATTTACTAAAGTTGGTTATCGTTTATTTATTCATTTTCGTCTATAAACTAGTTAATTTGGTTACCCACTTGTTAAATGATTTGTTTATTATTATATTATCTGATCAATTATTTCCTGATGAAAAATTTTCTTTTACATGTTAGCAGAAAAAGTTTGATTTCTTTGTAAATGTTTCAGAAATTTTTTCGGCGTTTCATCATCGAGAAACTTTCATTCATTTTCTATAAACTCTAAAGATCGTTGAATAAATCAATAAATAAATAATCCATTTGTTTGTTTTTAAATGTATCCATTTTAAATTTTATTAATTTTTAACCTCCGAACAAAAAATCCCTAAGAACATTTTCAAATTTCTAAACCGAATTTAGGCGGCAAGTTGGTGAAATGAGTAAGGCTTTTGCCCTGGCTTCCGCAGTGATCGGTATCCAATTCAAAGATGTTCCTGGAAAAAATTTTAGGAGAGAGTTAAAAAGTTATTTGTTCAGCAAGGTATCTAATAACACTACAAAACAATCCTCTGAGGAATGTCAATAGAGTGAATAAAACAAAAATAATAATTATAATATAATAATAATAATAATAAATAATAATATCCTCGTCTATCACATCACGTCATATGTGAATCTGGAAAATTAATTAAATGGAGATTAATGATAATGAGATTACTGAATGAACTACTAATACCACTTTTACTAATACTAATTCTGGCTGTTTTCAACAGTTCTTCGCTTATTTATATTGCTTTTAATAGTAACAAGACGGTACTTACAAACTTGTAAGTAAATGAAACATAGTAAATAAACATATTCATACCAATATATACAATTGTATACATACAAAAATCTGTATTCTTATATATTGTATGTACGGTACGCATACACCATTTTCGATATGATGATGTATTAATAATAACACTAATTTACGTTTATATATCCGAACCCTGATTCTATGTTAATCTTTTGTTGCGCCTTTGATTATTATTAGATCTTGGATCTTAAATATTATATATGGTCTGTATTCTACTGTGATTAAATTAATGCATCTAAATTGATTTAAGATTATATAATTAGATAATAAAATTATTAAGTTAAATCAACTGAAAAATATTATCACCTAGCATAGCAAAATGTGATAGGTTTTATTAATAGGTGATAATAGATTTATTTATCATCATCACGTAACATGACATTGCATGCCATGTGGGATATATCATTTTAATAAATCAACAATGCCAGAACCATTCAAAAGTCAAAATATTTTTTACAACTTTATTCATTACCTTGAAATTAATTAAAAAAAACAAAACCTCGATATTTTAGAGATAGAATTCTACAGCGATGTTGATTGTTCTCTTCTTTTTCTTACTTAACTCGTGTCAAACATTCTTATGCTAAATCTGCGTTTGCTTTTTCTGGCCCTTTTCCCTGAAACTTTCTACCTCTTTCTCCAACTACTTCTCCATCACTTACGAAGTTCAGTGCGGATCTCAAGACCCGTCTGTTTGCAAAATTCCCTGAGGAGCGCTGTTGAACATCGCGGAATAGCGTTTTACAAACTAATTGATTGGTTAAATTCATAAAATGTTTGCAATAGAAACAGTTTTATACGTGAAACTTCATGGGACATAAAAAATTTGTTATATAGTGATTTTCGTTGTATAGAAGTTTGCTATAAAGAGGTCCTACTCTATTTTGGATAAATTCTAATTGCAAGATTAATCAGAAAAAACGGACTGAAAGATTATTAAAGTAAAGATAATTTTTTTCATAGATTGTATTTCATTTATTGCATTTTTGCAATTGCCTTTACACATCTATATCTTAATCAATAGAATAGGAAAAATTCAATGGAAAATAGAAGATAAAAAATTTGTTTATGGAGGTGATCGTTGCTAAACAGAAAAGATTAACACTTTAGAAACAATTTTGGTTGTCCCGTGTTTCGCCATTGGCGTATAAGTTATATCTCAAAATAGGTTATAATATAATATATTCTAGTTATAATTATTACTTATATTATTTTTAGCAGTTATAATTTATTAAGTAAATATTAATAAGTAAATATTATCCTATTGTTTCTCAACTTTCGCGTTACTCAGGGTATCAAAATATGGGCGAACATTTTGCATTTTTACTCAGATAAACACCTTTTTTTGATTGACTTTTTATAAGAATGTTTTTATAAATAGATTTTGTGGTGTTTTTTTTCCATAAACTATTTATTAAATATTTTAATTATTTAAACGAATAAATCTCTAAATTGATTTATTAACATATATAATATTCAGTTAATAATCGCAAAAATCTTTGCAAATAAAAAGTATACTGGACAGTGGACACACATGACATACGCAACACCGTTAACTTTAACTATTTCAGATGAATTCTAATTGAAAGATAAATTAGAACGGACAAGCGTAAAAATAGAGAAATATAATAAATTAATTACTTCATAGATTGTATTTCATACATTATATTTAGTTAAAATTATTTAGTAGGTTTTTATTTTAAAATACCGCAAACAGTCGGTAATAGGAGCACATACTCGACGAATAATATTTATACCATCCCTCCTACATACGATAGTTCGGTGGAGTTTTATTTTTAAGCTAAAAATTTAAAGGGACGGGGCCGACTTTATCTCTTTTAACTATTTTTTTTACAACTTATTCAAGTTTTGATCCGGTAAGCTTTGTGATTATTTTATTAAAATATACATTTTAATTTCTAATGAAACTCATATTTAGTCATTCTGCTACAATTTTTCCTCCTAGTTACAAGGTTCTCTCTGTCTCTATCAGCCTCTCCATCAGATCTAGTAGAGTAGATATATTATATAGTATCAACACTACAAAGTACAAGAAACAAGACAAGACTATCTCTACCATCCTACTTTTTACTAAAAGTATTCTGTCCAGAGTCTGTCATTATTTAATTTGATTGATTGATTGATTGATTGGGGGCTGTTAATTTTGTTAAAGTTCCATCATGAGTAACAACAAGGCTGCAGAAATTTTTAAAAAACTTTCCTGCATCCCGTCCCTGAAGAAGGCCCTATTTGAAAAAGTCCCTTCCAGCAAGAACTACAAACGTATCACGGCAACATGGTCCCAAAGAAACTTGATGAAAAATGAGATGACGTCATTCACCAACCAGTTTGTCATCTGTGGAGACAGTGTGGATGTCACTGCTCCTGTCACTTTTGAGAATGTGTTAGTATCTGTAGTCTTTGTGTACTGTTGATTAGTACAGTTAAATTTTGAGTTAGAAATTAGAAGAGATATACCAGTATAATCCTTAAGTAAGAACTAAGACTCATTAGCTAGCTACTAGCAGCCAATGCAAATCCAATATTTGCTAGTCAAATCGACCAAGTTAAATGATAGTGTCTTTCTAACCATAGCAATAAAAATTGTGAATGAAAAATAGAAAATATTGAAATTTAGTTTTATTCAAAATTTTACTGCTTTATTATTTTATATACAATGAACAAGTAACTATGCAAATAATGCAAAAGTAACCATTGGAAGCACAGACGAGAGTAGTTTATATAATAGAAATAGGACAAATATTAAATACTTTTACATAATTTTCAATTTTGTTGTTTCTTAACGATGAAAATAATTTTATCTCACTTAGGCTTTGGCGTGTAAGAAGCAGATCCGGGCAGAAGACATTTCTGTTAAAACAGTCGAAAGATAAGGACAAACCATCTGAAGTGAAGCAATACATTGAGGTCTTATTTGCCACCACTAATAAATAATTGAATAGTTTTTAAGGTTTGTATTGGAAGACCTGATGGCAAGATGATTAAGCTGTTTGTCAATGTTGTACTGTGATCTGGTTCAAATGCCAAGAGATCCCAGCCTATCGCACACTTTCAGCATTTGTTGTCGATACCTCTGCGAAATACATTTTTTTTCAGCATCAGTTTACTGAAACATTTTTCTAATAGCAACTGTTGTGAATTCATGACCATCGTCGTCGTCGTCATCATCCTCTCCATCTTCGCCACGCAGATCTGGAATGAAATGTGCATGACGCACAACGTACCGGTCAGCACTCTGAAATCCCACGGGCTCCTCTACGATGATGGTTCGTATGCTATGCACGCAAGTCTGTATGAAACGAGACGAGATTTATTTTTGTAACGAAACGAGACGAGATTTATTTTTTGAAAAGAAACGAGACGAGATTTATTTTTGTAACGAAACGAGACGAGATTTATTTTTGTAAAGAAACGAGACAAGATTTGTTTTTTGAAAAGAAACGAGACGAGATTTATTTTTGTAACGAAACGAGACGAGATTTATTTTTTGAAAAGAAACGAGACGAGATTTGTTTTTTGAAAAGAAACGAGACGAGATTTATTTTTGTAACGAAACGAGACGAGATTTATTTTTTGAAAAGAAACGAGACGAGATTTGTTTTTTGAAAAGAAACGAGACGAGATTTATTTTTGTAACGAAACGAGACGAGATTTACTTTTGTAACGAAACGCAGAATACGTTACAGGGTTGTGGAGGATAAAATTTAGGAAATTCATCCATCCTGGGTGCAATAAATATTCACGTACATTTGCATGTTGAATTCCTATTACATCATGTATTATATCAGTACCTAGTAAATGAAAAAATAAGTTTGAATTTTTGTAGCGCCCACTATACGTCATTACTGGATTTAACCTTTCACTAACATGTTGTCTAGAAAAATATTATGTGCGTCAGGTTTAGTGCTAGCTACGTGTTCATCGTGTAGTGCCGATGTTGTGGCCTTTGTAGCTACTACAAAATTTAATTTCAACTAATTAAGAAACAACCTGTCAGAGGTTGTTTCTTAATGTTTCTATTACACTTGTTTCTAAATGTGACTAATCTGATTATTACACTACCTGTTTGGTAGTGTAATAGTCAAGATGTCTGGCGCTGCTGTTGCAGTCACTGGATTCGAACGCAGGGAAATCCCAGCCCGCACGTGTGAGGTACGCGTGTTTGTAGCATGTGTGGTGTGTTTGTCGCTCACACCTCTGAGAGATTCACGAGGGAATGATTATGGAAGGAAGACTAGCGAATAGAATATAACCCCCTGCATGTACAGACGAAGAATTCGGTTCTGTGGCCTGGTCGAATGATGGTGAAAAAATTCTCTTCATCGCTGAGAAGGTTGTGGCGAAGGGCAGGAAGTACTTCAGTACTGAGACAGAAGGAGTGGAGGTGAGTTGCTGGGTGATGATTGGTTGGTTGTTTAGTTTGTTGGTTGGTCGGTGGTTGGTTGGTTGGTCGGTCAGTCGGTTGGTCGGTGGTCGGTCGGTTGGTCGGTCAGTCGGTTGGTTGGTTGGTCGGTCGGTCGGTTGGTTGTTGGTTGTTGGTTAAATTTTTCCCACGTTGACACGCTCATACACATAGACACACACAACATATACATTGACATGCATCACACATGTTTTGACACACACATACACACCACACATACACACGCACACAGGGCACAACATACCTCTACAGAGGTGACTGGGGTGAGCAGATGAGCAAGAAAGTAGAGCCGGTTCTCTGTGTATTCGAACCCGCCACTTTCACCTCTTACGTAGTTGATTGGTTGCCAACGTCATGCTCTTATGGGCAGGTTTGTTGGGAGGATGATGACATCATTTATCTCACATTCTATTGTCAAATCGCAATGAATGTAGGAGTGAATGAATGAATGAACAAATGAATGAATTGAGGAATGAATGAGTGGGGGTGCGCCTATTTCCTTGAGCGAATAGTTTATGAAGGAATGATTGATTTAATGAATGAATGAATGAATGAATGAATGAATGAATGAATGAATGAATGAATGAATGAATGAATGAATGAATGAATGAATGAATGAATGAATGAATGAATGAATGAATGAATGAATGAATAAATAAAACCGAAAATATTAATAATAATTAATTAAATTTCAAATAAATATATGTCCTTATTTTAAATAAAAAATTTAAATTGTGTTGCTAAGGCCATCTGGGGACCGACTGATGATACGATCTATGTGATTGGCTGGCAGAACGAGCCGTACAAGCTTGGGATTATTTATTGTCCAATCAGGAAGTTTGTTTCATTTAAATAGACATCCAATTAGGATGTTTCATTTTTGCTCACTGTCCAATCAAAACGTCTCAATTTTATAATTGTTTTTGGAATAAAAATGATTTGTTTTTAACGATTGTCCAATCAAAATCAAAGGTTATTTCATCTTTAGTGATCATCCACTTAGAATGTTTTATTTCTCATGATTACCCAATCAATATGTTTTATACCTTACGATCACCCAGTCAGAATGTTTTATATTTTACAATCGCCCAATCAAATTGTTCATAGTTTAAAGGTTATCCAATCAGAAGCATTGTTTCATCTTCAAATTTTTTTCATCAGTAGAGGTTTTTAATTAATTTTTTTTTCTTTTTTCACTCCAGAAACAATTTGTATGAAATTAGTCTGAAGGAAAAGTCATACAGTGAGTGATGGTGGCTGACTGGTTGAATACTTTTACATCTTTTGCTAGTTACTATCAGTTGCTATACCGGTTGTTTATTTATTTAGTTTATTGGTTGGTTGACTGGATAACTGATTGATTGGTTGGTTTGCTGGTTGATTAGCTGGTTGATTGGTTGGTTAGTTGGTTGATTGGTTGGTTAGCTGGTTGATTGTTTGGTTAGCTGGTTGATTGGTTGGTTAGCTGGTTGATTGGTTGGTTAGCTGGTTGATTGGTTGGTAAGCTGGTTGATTGGTTGGTTATCTGGTTGATCGGTTGGTAAGCTGGTTGATTGGTTGGTTTATTAGTTTAACAGTTAGTGGATTGGTTATTGATTGGTTGATTGGTTGTTTTTTTCGTTGATAGCAGACACACTACCAAGCAACCAACCAACCAATCGGTAACCCACATTTTCGATAAACCGCCCATTATTATTATTATTATTATTATTATTATTATTATTATTATTATTATTATTATTATTATTACGTTAAACAAAGGCGAAGGCGAAACGTCCTTGTGCCTTCTCAAAACTGAGACAATTTTAAAACAATAAATTAAATAAACCTATGAATCTATCAGTCTATGAGCCATCCGACCAACCAACCACACATCCAACCAATCAACCAACCAACCAAACAACTAACCAAACAACCAACCAACTTACCAACCAACCAATCAAACAAACAACCAGTCATACATACATCCAACCATCCAATCAACTATCGACTAAACCAGAAATCATAACCTCCAACAACTCCTCCGTGCACTCTCCTACGTTGAACCAGCACAAGCCCGACATGCTGATGTGGCTGGAGTGCAACGAGGGTGGCCCACACCACCAGGAACACCGGGTGGTTGTTCGGGACCTCCCTCTCAGCCAAAATAAGGTCCTCCAGTTGAAAGCCTCAAATTGGGGTTGGGATCTTTTTGTTGGTTTTTTGGAGTTTTTTTGTTGGGAATTAGAGTTGTTCTGTTGTTTTTGCTGGTGTCAGGGTTTGTTTTTTTGTTCGTTCGTTTGTTTTTGTTTTTTTCGTTTTTTTGTTTTAGTTGTTCGTTTGTTTGTGTGTTTGTTCCCTGGTTGATTGCAGACTTCATGCGGTGTTTAGTAACATAGCAACCGCGCCAGTTGTTCTCTGCTATTCACCTGATAAAATATCATCATTATCGTCATCATCATCATTATTATCATCAATATCATCATTATCATCATCGTCATCATCATTACAATCATCATCATTATCGTCATCATCATCATCATCCTCAGATAAATTTCTTGGAATATTTCGGGGAAGTTCGATGAAGTGGATCGATGATGAGAGAGTTCTCCTCAGTAGTATCAGCTGTAGTCGATTGGTGAGATGGTGGTGGTGAAGGTAGTGAGGGTGTGATAATGATGATGATGATTGGTGAGATGATGGTGATGATAATAGTACTCGTCATATTTTTCAGGAGCTAATTGTTATTAATGTAACAAATTCTACGGTTACCAAAATCTCCAAAGGTAATGATGATGATGATGGTGATGATGATGATGATGATGATGATGTTGATGATAATGATGATGATGTTGACGATGATGATGATGGCGAAGATGATGTTGATGATAATGATGATGATAATGATTTGACGACGACGATGATGATGATGATGATGACGATGATAATGATTGATAATAGGTGATGACGTTGGATCGTGGACATTGTTAGATGTTGATGATGATCATGACGTCATCGTTTGCTGCTCAAGTTTCCATGAACCACAATATATGGTGGGTTGGTTGGTTCATTCATTCATTCATTCGCTCATTCATTAATTCATTTCTTCGTTATTCCAGATTGGTTTAATTCATCTGTTAAATGATTATTCATTCCCACTCTGATTATACAGCATCCACACATCCCACACCCCGCATACACTCCCTGCAACACCACCGACCTACATTTCTTACAACGTTGACCTAATTAAAGATGATTGGAAGGTTACCCTCAGCCGGCAGCGAATCAGAAATAGCCTGGAGGAGACTCAGCCAATCAGAGCAGAACTTTGTGAACGATATTGCGTGGACGATTAATGAGATAAAGAACACCAGTGTTACTAACTCTAAAGGTACAATTTAATTCACTCACACACACACACCACACACACACACACACACACACACACACACCTAATTAATATTCATGAATCAGGTGTCGTCGATTATGAGTACATCTTGTTGGAGCCGACGGCCAAGAAGAAGCTACAACCTCTCATTGTCTGCAACCATGGTATGGTAGCTAACATATTCATAATTTATTCATAACTTTTTCATAATTTATTCATGACTTGCGCTATTATTAAATGGATTGGTCATTGATTATAATGAAAAATATTTTTTGAATTCACTATCTTTTATTATTATAATCATCTGATTAATATTCATCATCATCTGATTGTTATTCTTCATCATCTCATTAATATTCATCACCATCTGATTGTTATTCATTTATATCTAATTGATATTCATCATAATCTGATTGTTATTCATTTATATCTAATTAATATTCATAATAATCTGATTGATATTCATCATCGCCTCATTAATATTCATTATAATCTGCTTAATATTTAACCCCTTCTCATTAATATTTAATTCTCATTAATTTCTCATTAATATTCATCATTATAACATTAATATTCATCATCCTTCCTCAGGTGGACCACATTCAGTCTTCCTAGCCAGTTACAACACTCAACTGGCAGCCTACTGCTTGCTTGGCTTCTCTCTGCTGCTGAGTCAGTTGTTACCTAATTAATAATTAATTGAGAGTAATTAATTAATTAAATTAATTAATTAATTTAGATACGTGTTGTTGTTGTTACTGTTTCTTTCATTAATATTCATCATCACATTCATCTTAACATCATCATCACAACCACGACAACTATCATCATCACAGTCGTCATCATCATTCAACATGCTAGCCAGTATAGAGTAGTATCATTATCATCATCATTATCACACCCATCACCATTGTCATCTTCATCATCACCACACTCATCATCATGATCGTCATCATCAAACTCATCATCATCATCAAACTCATCTTCATCATCATCGTCATCATCATCAAACTCATCATCATCATCATCACACTCGTCGTCAGCCAACTATAGAGGATCACTGGGCTATGGTGAAGACAACGTGGAAAGCCTTCCGGGTAATGTTGGAACTCAAGATGTTGCTGATATCAAGGTGCGTGTGTGTGTGTGTACGTGTGTACGTGTGTGTACGTGTGTACGTGTGTGTGTGTGTGTACGTGTGTGTGTGTGTGTACGTGTGTGTGTGTGTGTGTGTGTGTGTGTGTGTGTGTGTGTGTGTGTGTATGTTCGTGTGCGTTTGTTTGTATGTTTGTGTTTTTTCATTTGTTTGTGTGTGTCTGTGTGTTGCGTGAGTGTGTGTCTGTGTGTATTTATGTGTGTGTCTGTTTTTGTATGTGTGCTTGTGTGCTTTTATGCCTGACTGTCTTTCTGTTTGATTCTGTCTTTTTGAAGAGAGTAAAATTGTATTACTGGCTTGACTAATTAATTTATTAATTTGTTAATTATGTATTTATTTTTTAACTGACTTACTGGCTTGACTAATTAATTTATTAATTTATCAATTTATGTATTTATTTATTAACTGACTTACTGGCTTGACTAATTAATTAATTTATTATTTATTAAATTATGTATTTATTTATTAGTTAGTTGTTATTATTAGTTAAATTTGTCGATGAGTGATTAATTAATTTTTTTTTATTTTTAGCTTGCGCTTGACACAGTTATCGCGAGGCGGCAGGCTGACCCGAATAAGTTGGCTGTGATTGGTGGGTCCCACGGCGGGTTCCTCACCCTGCATCTCATTGGTCAATATCCAGTTAGTTGGTTTCAACGACCGATTGAATTAGAAATTTGTCGATGAGTGATTGATTGGTTGATTGATTGATTGATTGATTGATTGATTGATTGATTGATTGATTGATTGATTGATTGATTGATTGATTGATTGATTGATTGATTGATTGATTGATTGATTGATTGATTGATTGATTGATTGATTGATTGATTGATTGATTGATTGATTGATTGATTGATTGATTGATTGATTGATTGATTGCTTGATTGATTGATTGCTTGATTGATTGATTGATTGATTGAATGACCGACATATTCGGTCATTCGTTCATTCATTCATTCGTTCATTCATTCATTCATTCATTCATTCATTCATTCATTCATTCATTCATCTGATTAGTTTGTTTATTAACAAAAGGACCTCTTTAAAGTTGCTGTTGCAAGAAACGCTGTCGTTAACTTGACAAGTTTGTTGATTGTTTTAATATATCAATCAATTAATCAACCATCCAATCAATCAATTAATCAATCAATCGATCGATCAATTAATCAACGAATTTCGTTAATTTTTGAAAGTATTTTTGTTATTTTTTTTCCTTATTAAAAATATTTTGTTTGTTATTTCTTGATTTCAATAAACTTAATTATTCTTGAAAAAGATATGCTGGGCGTTTCGGATATCCCAGATTGGTTAGTGTTCGTTTTGTTTACGTGATAAATTGATTGGCTGATCGATTGATTGATTGATTCTTTGATTGATTGATCGGTTGATTGACTGATTGATTAATTGATTGATTGAGGGATTAATTGATTGATTGATTAGTTGGTTGATTGATTAGTTTTTTAATTATTGATGGATCAGCTGGTTGATTGATTGATTTGTTAATGGATTTATTAATTGATTAATTCATTCATTCACTGATTGACTGGTTGATTGAAAGATTTTGAAAATCATTCACGTTTGCACTTATTAGTTTATAGATTTGTTTCCTTGATTGTTCAATTTTTAATCAGTTTGATTGATTGATTGGTTGGTTGATTCATTTAATCATTCATTCATTTATTATTCATTCTTTCATTCATTCATTCATTCATTCATTCATTCATTCATTCATTCATTCATTCATTCATTCATTCATTCATTCATTCATTCATTCATTCATTCATTCATTCAATCCATTCAATCTATTCAATCCATTCAATCCATTTAATCCATTCACTCAGTCACTCATTTTCATCCATTAAAATCTTCCACATAACATTACTTCCGTTTGAAGATGTTCGCCTGTTATCATTTTTATGTTATTTAAGAGTCATTCCCAATGAACAGCCATCGACCAATCAAATTGCAGGGTCTACACGGAGGTGGGAGAGGTCTTTGACGACCGCATGATCGTTAGCCCCGCCCTCCTGAACAAGCTGCTGTCAAAATCGCCCTGGCAGTACGTAGACAAGGTACTTTTTTAGTAGTATAATTATGATGAAATTATAGTAGAAGTTAATTATTTTTTTTTGGTTTTTGTTTATGACCTATTAAAAATTTGTTGTTAATTAATTAATTAATTAATTTATGCAGATGAAGACGCCCTTGTTACTAATGGTGGGAGGAGCCGACTTCAGGGTGCCACCCTCGCAGAGCCTTCAACTGTTCAAAAGTCTGAAGGCTAGCAACCGAACTGTCAGGTGATTAATATTCAGACTCCACCTCATTAATATTCAGAAACCACCTCATTAATATTCAGACTCCACCTTATTAATATTCACGACCACCTCATTAATATTCAGACTCCACCTCTATCCGGAATCCTGCCATCCACTGGCTGAAGTCGACGTTGAAGTGGATAACTTCATCAACGGCGTCATGTGGATTGAGGAGCATCTCAATGGCTAGCCAGAAACAGGGATGGGTCGAAGTGTCAAAATATAGATGTGTGAATGTGGCGATGTTTAAAAATAGGGATGTGCAAATGTGTGGGTGTTTCGGGTGTTTCGAGGCAGGAATGTGTAGAATTATGCGAATGCAAACGTGGCTTGTGTTGAAGTAGGGATGTACAAGTGTCGGGATGTGTGTAAATTGGGATTTCAAAATGAGGAAATGTGTGCAAACCGGAATTCGTAAATACGGATATTTTAAATAAATTATGTATTTGTTTTTTCTTTGATGGCAACCGAGTTGCTATTGTTATTATTTGTTTGGCTCTCAGACTCAAAAGAAGGAACTCCTCTCTATTTTCAAATCAGGATAATCCATAAAAAGATAATTTTTACGATGTTTATAGAGTGATGGAACATGTTAAATGAAAGTTAAAAACGGATTTTTTTTTTTAGTAAACAATCTTAAAAATTGTTGAGTATATTTTCATTCAACCCATTATTTTGTCATGGTTTTAAAAAAGTTGAGTGTATTTTTGTTAAGATCAAACTGTTCAAAGTTCCGGTTTGTTTCTTATTTTTGTTGCTTCTTCACACAAGGAAGGAAATAAATGTATTCCGATTAGCTAAACAAGTTAAACAATGGAGATGGTAACGTAGAAAGGTCGATACGCGCCGGGCAACATTCATTAGCACTTGCAAAAGCCAACGAGCCAAAGCCAAACTAATGCCAATGATAATGGATCAGTCGAGTGAAATCCGTCAAAACATTTTTATACTTTTAATCTTTTTGTTTCCTCAAAGGCTAACGAACGCACGAAACCTCATTGACTACATCAAAATGGTAGTTTGCAGTTAAAGTTTTAGATTAAATCATATCGCACTGACATAATGATAATGTTGTGTCTATTTTTAAAAATTACAAAAAATTACATTAAACACATGATTAAACACCTAATTGAAATAAAAACACACAATCTTATAATCGTTTAGCAGCTAAAAAAACAAAAAATTTGTTTAATATTCAGTAAATATGAATGCACAGTACACCTAAAACAGGGGGGGGGGGCAAACTTTTTGCTAAGAGGGCCGCATTGAGAACTTTTTGACCTTTGAAGGGCCACATACGTACTTAAATAGCGAATTTTTTTCGAAACGTGAAAAAATTTTTTCAAGGTTTGTGGTTTTTTATTTGGTCATAATGTTTAGCTAAGGATTTTCTTTGGCGAACAAGGCCTCGAGGGCCGCATACGGCGCCGTAGTTTGCCCACTCCTGACCTAAAAGTTGAAACTCAGAAATTGGTGACGTGATTAAAAACTACGTGATTAAGAACTACGTCAAGCACACAGAAATAATTAGGATAGAAATAGCTTGATAAAATCAATTTTTGTTGTCAGTGGAATACGTACGTAGAGCAGATCTATGGATTCAGTTTGATCATCATTCTACAAGACGTGACGGAAACACCCACATCATTCAACACGTACGAACCAGACATCCCATTCACATTAAAATGATAGCAGGAATTGAACCAAAACCCTGAAGTAAACCTATAAGCACAGTCATCACTCGATTGATCGTTATCTTGATCAGGGGTTGAGAACTTCATTCCGTTGTGGCAGACTTTAGGATTCTTTGAGTTGTTTAAAACGTCATTGTTGTATCCGCAGTATCCCGAAACATTGAGGGAATATTTCTCAAACTCCGACCCTACCTGAATAAATAAATAAATGATCAAGTAAGAAATTTTTCACCCGACCGAAGCAAATGGATTCAACAATGATTTGTTATGAAGAGAACAACTGACCACAAAATGATCATATTCATCGGAAACCCAGACACCTTTGGTGAGGACCTCAAACCTCAACCTGTAGTCGGCCAATGACGTCAGTTGGTGCATCTTTTCCAGGCCCAACCAGAAATTCAGGCAATAATTTCCGAAACCAGACTGTCAATGTTATTAGTTGAAGTAGGTTTCAGATTATTAAAGAATAAACTATTTTCGATTTGTTTACGAATCTTTTTTGAAATCTTTACCTTGTAGGTATTCCAATTCTGATTGAAACTCAGCGTATTATCAATCCTCTGCTGAATGACAATCCACCCATTAACAGACGTAACAGCGGTTGAGTTATCGAACGTTGAAATGTTTAACCAGGTCGTCTCGTTGACTCCCTTATAACCTAAAATTTGAAATAATGAAAAAATGTTATAACTTTTGAATTTTTTGTTGAAATAATTCAGAAAAATTTTAAATAAAAGTTAAGAAAACATTTTAGAAAAGATTTTCTGTCAAATTTTTTGTTCTTTCAGAGGAAAAATTATCAAACCTTGAGGATCAAGACAGACGGACAACTGCCTGTTTCCAGTGAGACACATGTAGAGAGCACAAGGATTGTTGATGCCAGGTAGTGAGTTGGAACAAGAGTAGAACAATCCACCATTGAAAGTGAATGGAAAGTTGCAGGATTTGCTCGCAGCCCAACCTACACTGTTTGCTATTTAATAATTCTTTTTCATATATTTACAACTTTATAAAGAAATTGCTATTATTTTCTGTTAAGACACACACACAAACACACACACACACATACACACACACATACACACACACACTGTTCAAGAAGATAGGTTAATATCGTCTTGTTTGGTATCAAGTTTCACATGGAATGAAATTCCTATAAACGTTTGACGCCACCAGCTGCGTTTCCGTTCTCTACACGATTGAAAAAAAAATTATAGACATAAAACTACTAACGTTTTGCATGGCTAACTGAGAAATCCTGCAAGGAATATCAATTTAAATAAGATTTGTGGCCCATGATGTTGAAGATGTTTCAGAAACAATCTTAAATATCAAAAAATGTTCAAACCTCAAAAGCCAAGCAACCAGTTTTGTTTGGAAGAATCGTAAAATTGGTACCACAAGTGAAATGAAAGAGTTGGCAATACTTAGCTGAACCACTTGTTTCAGTGGATTGGTAGTTGAATGCGTTACAAGTGACGTTATTATCAGAGGGAGAAATATAATGATGACATTTGTTAGAACACTCCAGTAAGGATCGAATGTTGGTCAGTACCGTGGTAGGTTCGGAAGCAAAACATATGGGGTTGTTTGGATCTCCCAGATTTCGAAACTTTTTGTCAATTGCCGAAGCTAACGATGACAATGAAATTGTAAAAATTAAAACTAATGCCAACCACATCCCTCGAACAATTAACTGTTCTCCAACTTAATCGGTTAAACAAATTAATTAAAGATAATATAAATTTCCACAAAAATTACGCTAAAATGAAACCAAAACTAATTTTTCAGCAAAGGTTTACATCAACCAAATGCCAAAATCTTGCACAGCTACCGGAGTTTAAAATTACAGTAGGGTTAAAATTACGTTTAGAAGCGTTTATTTATTTAAGATCATCTGTTTGCCGACATAGTAAATTAACATCGACCTCTCAACTTCAATAGACTTCAGTACTACGGACTCACGATCATTCAAATTTTCATCAAATATTCACGAGAGTATTGAAAACTCGACAGACGAAATTCAACCTATTGTACCTCCAGCCAACAATGGACGAACAAATTAATAAATTTCTACCTTGACAATGGGAGTAAAATTAAAATTAGTAGAATAATAATTCATTTTATTATTATTTTCTTAAAATAATAATAATAATAACTATAATATTTGTATAATAAATCAATTTTCAAAAATGAATATAAACAAAAAACTTCTGCAAAGCTAAATGTGGTTCTAACATTTGAAATGATATTGTTATAACCGTCACAAATGGATTTGCTAGAGGCGCTTGTGCTGCTACGAAGGCATACAGTTCGAGGAGGAACCAGAAACTTCTGACAGCGTCTGTAAGACAAGTTTAAAAGGCATGCGAGCTGTTGGACGGGCGTCGTTGTTGTTGTTGAATATTTGAAATAAGAAAGCGATTGATTGTTAGTGTCGAAAGCAATATTAGTTATTTGATTTTGCGTTGGGTTTTTATTGTATTTGCGGTATACTTTAGTGAATTGTTATTCGGAAAGCGATAGTTTCTGAACGTTAACTCTTATTAGTAAAATTAATCAATTTTGATTTTTTTTAATTGATTGATTAATTAATTGATTATCGATTTGTAAATAAAACGATAGTTTGAAAGTGATTTCTCTTTTTATCATTGGAGTGAAACGGACTCGTCGTCGACCGGACAATTAATAAAAATAGTTTTACGGCCATTTCAAGTTAACCGAATACATTATAGTTAATGATTACATTAGCTTAGTGAATAACTTTAACGTTTTTAGTAGAGATTTTGATTTAAAATCAATATTTCTACTTTTATATTTTATTAATTTCATTGAAATAAGCAAATGCGATTGAAATCTGAGATATCAAACTGGCAAACTCTTCTGCCAATATATTTGGAGCAATACATGTCAATTTCATTTTTTTTCAATCAGTAGTCACACAAAATTTGATAAAAGTTTTTTAAGTATAAAAATCGCCATGGAGAATAACATTTTTATATAAATTCTATAAAAATTAATAATGTCATTTAATGTGGAATTTTTAAGTTTAATAATTATTATTGAAATTCAGATTAAGCGCCACTACTTGCTACTTCTTTATTTTACAAATTGCAAAACATCGCTACTGAGATTGTTTTAATCAATTCTTTATCGATTGGAAAACTAACTAAATAATTAATTTATTAATTAGTATATATCTCCTATTTGTGCGTTCTTTTTCATTTTATGTGATTCGCCAAAATGCTTTCAACGCTTTCTGTCCGTCATTTGGAGTAAATTTCTTTTTAACAAACTTAGTCTAGAATGATAGAATATTAGTTATTATAAATATGAGAATTAAAAAAGAAAATTTTGAAAATTTGAAAGACAATTGTAAACTACTTAATAGTATTAACGATGCTGATTTAAGAATAATAATGATAGTAGAACTTTAGTTATAATAAATAAATAATATAATAAATTTTTCAATTTTTTAAAAACCTTCCCGAACAGACTCTAGAAAAAATTCATCCGTTTATTAGCAAAGAACGTCACCAGAAAGACAAACACGTCACAAAAAAACACAAACAATTCAGTTTTAAATGAAGAAAACAACAAAAAAAGAAAATTATGTGAGATGCAGGCGTAGATTTAATTCTACTACTGCCTTCGCTACCCTTATTACTACGTCCAAATGAATGAATGAATGGATGGATGAATGAATGAATGAATAAATGAATGAATGAATGAATGAATGAATGAATGAATGAATGAATGAATAAATGAATGAACGAACGAACGAACGAACGAACGAATGGATAATAATTGTTAATTATTATGATATAAAAGTAAAAGACTATTCGGTATTACAAATATTTTAAATGTCATTTTTTAATTATTATTATTATTATTATTACTAATACAACTATATAGATGTGCTTAAATATGGCAATATTATTTATCATGGACAATGAACATCTTCCATAGCAAATTCATAAAGGACTGTATGTATATAGATGGATTGCACATGTAGCTGTACGTGATAGTTGATTGCTTGAAGGCGTTCTGTGAGTGCTGAGCCTCTGTGATCGGCTTCGAATGCAGGGATTTCCCCCTCTATCGTAACGCGTTGACCGACAAATGAATGAATGAATGAATGGATGGTTGGATAGATGGATGGAAGGATGAATAAATAAATGAATGAATGGAAGGATGGATGGATGAATAAATAAATAAATGAATGAATGAATGGAAGGATGGATGGATGGATGGATGGATGGATGGATGGATGGATGGATGGATGGATGGATGGATGGATGGATGGATGGATGGATGGATGGATGGATGGATGGATGGATGGATGGATGGATGGATGGATGGATGGTAATAAAGTAATTTTTCAACGATCGATAGACGGAAACACATAGTTACGTGTTATTTTGATTACTTCACTAAATGGCAGATTAATTCACGAAAACATGAATGAATATAAAACTGAATAAATAATATATTTAATTAGTTAAGTAACTAATTAATTAAATAAATAAAATCAAAGAATGGAAAAAATTATTAAATTTTGATCGACACGTCTACTGCAAAAAAAACATTACGTATGAAAATTATAAGTGCACTTATTGATGGTTCGGAAATAATAAATAAAAACCCCTTAAAAAAATTAATTAATTAGTTTTTAATTAGTTTAATCATTTGTAAACTCTAGATTTAATTAAAATTTGAATTCGTCTAACTGTCATTCACTGATTAGATTTATATTTACACAAATTTTATTCATTTCATTAGTAGCTACTTATATAATTAATACAGTTAAACAAAGTCAAGTTTTGGGGTTTTTATATGTTTTGTAAAAAATCATTGGTTCATTGGTTCGTGATTCATTCATTCGTTCATTCATTCATCTATGCATTCATTCATTCATTTATTCATTCATTCGTTCATTCATTCATCTATGCATTCATTCATTCATTTATTCATTCATTCGTTTATTCAATCATTCACTCATTCAATCTCTTCTGTCCATCATCATTTCAGAAAATTCATAATAAAGTTGATCTTGTTAAGTGTAGTATCTTGCTGGGATGTGTGATTTGTTGTGGCTGTAAATACTGATGTTGACAAATTTGTTGCTGCTGTTGTTGTTGTTGTTGTATCAAGTGTTGTTGTTGTTGTAGGAAATGTTGCATGACATCATTGCAACAGTTGTTGCTGGTCTCAGCGTCAACACCAACAACAACATCACAGTTCGGACAGTGTAGGCATACTTCAGTCTGCTCGTTCATTGGTGGTACGCTCTCGCATAAGTGCACGTGTTGAGGAAAGTCACACGATTGTTGTAGTTTGTGTTGCTGTGGGTAGAACTGTTGAGAATGTTGTTGTTGCTGCTGTTGTAGAAGTTGTTGTTGTTGTCGTTCGAGTCGTCTGAGAGTTGAGGTTGGTGTACTTGCGACGACGTGATGAAACGGTTGCTTAGACTGCTGGCGATGATGTTGGCAGAAATGTTGTTGAAGTTGTTGCGGGTGTTGGAAAACTGGTGTCGCGTTTGTTGAGAGGGAGTGTGGTGACGGCTGGTTCCAAGTAAGTGGCTGTGGTAGTTGCGGTGGCGACGACGATCTTCTTTGTTGTTGTTGTTGTTGTTGTTGTTGTTTATCGTTGCTGTACTTGAATGTGTTGAAACTGTTGGTGTTGTTTTTTGCGCTCTTGTTGTTTTGTTGTTTCGATCTGTTGACGACAGTCTGATTGGAGACTAGACTACTAGAGATCGATTCATCGTCGTCGCCATCATCGTCGTCGTTGTTGTTGTTGTTAAATGTTGCAGTGTTGCTGGAGTCGTTGAACTGTGTTGCGATGTTGATGTTGTTATTGATTTTCACGTTGAGGAAGTTTTTGTTGTTGCCGGCCTTGGTTGTTGGGTTGTTGATTTTTTTGTTTTGTTGTTGCTGTTGTTGTTGTGGTTGTTGGTAATGTAATTGTTGTTGTTGGTGAGAGTTGGTTGGCTCTAAACTTTTTGTTGATGTCGTAGAGGTACTCTTCTTCTCAGCAAAACTGCTGTTGAATATATTTGGGTCTTCGAGAAAGATTTTGTTGTTGGTGTTGATGTTACCGATGTTGTCGTTGATGTTGTTAATGTTGTTGTTGTTGAAAGTGTTGTTGATGTTGTTGTTCAACAAGGGAAAAGACTGCCTGTGAATTCAAAAAGCTGTTGTAGCAGGTGTCATTTCAAATAAAATCAACGAGGCCAATGATATAGAAACCACAAATAATAATCACCAAAAACCTAGGTGTCAAGAAGGGGTGGGGCTGGTAAATTCAAGTACAGCAGAGTACGACCCGCGAAGCTATTTTATGCGGCCCGCGAAGCCTTGTTTGCCAAAAATGTAGTCAGCCAGACATTATGAACTAAAAAAAAGGAGCCACAAATTTAAAAAAAGTCCTCCCTGGGTCGGAAAAATTGGCTATTTAAGTACATATGCGGCCCTTCAAAAGTAAAATAGTTTTCAATGCGGCCCTCACAGCAAAAAGTTTGCCCACCCCTGAAGAACAGCAATGGTAAACAACAACAACTAACTTAACAATGGATAAGATTTAACATTGAATAAGAGCTGTTATAGTTAAGATCTAACTAAAACTCCAGATGAAATTTGACTAGAATTTGTTTCGATCGACCTTCTTACAATTGTAAAATTTGGTAATTTAAAAAAGCTGGCTTTTTTTTAATTTAACAAAGAAATAGGATTACAGATATAATTGAGAAAACTGTTATGAAAATTAGATTGTTTGTGATTAATTTTAAAATATTTGAAACTATATCATACATGAGAATGAGTGAAAAAAAGGACTAAGGGAATGATTAGACATGGAAGATGAGGATGAGATGATGAGAGATGGATAATGAGGCATTGTGAGACATGTTGATTAGACATGTTGATTAGACATGTTGATTAGACATGTTGGTGAGACGCGTTGATAAGACAATTAATAAGGAGACTTACATTGGGATATCATCCAAATTCTCTTGCTTCCCCTTTTCAAAAACTGTTCGGTGATTACATAGAATAAAAATAAAGATAGTGAATGTGCATTCATTCATTCATCAATTCATTCATTCATCATTTCATTCATTCATCATTTCATTCATTCATCAATTCATTCATTCATCAATTCATTCATTCATCGTTTCCTCCATCTATCCATCCAAAAACAAGCACTATATCTATCCATCCATCCATCCAATTCATCCCACAAATTACCCATTCACCCATCCTATTATCCATTCATCGATCCGTACATTAATTCATCCAACGTTTCATCTACCCAAATATCCATCCATATATCCATCAAATCATCCACTCATTCATTCATCCATTCACCCACCCATCTATGCACTCACCTTTATAATTCTCTCCTAACTTCCTCTTCTTCTTATAAGCACACACCATGATGATGACCACCACACCGCAGATGGCCACAGGGAGTGCCACCAGGGCCATCCAGGTGGGCGAAAATGGGAGGATGGCGTCCAGGGGTGTAGGGGTGGGCGCTGAGAGAAAAAAGACAAAAAATTTAATTTTTCAATTTTAAATAGAATTTATTTTTGTCACTTTCGTTTCAAATGTTTTTCCGTCTCAAACAACAATCACTTTTATTTCTCTATTTCTATATCTCTTTATCCAAGATTTTAAATACAAACTACATAGTGGTAAGCATGTTTATCAACTGCGGCTAATACACAAGCATAATATACATACAAGGTTAATATACAAGATATAATTTGTTTTCAAGTTTTAAATTTTACAAAGCTCCATGACCCGTCGTCCTCTTCTCACACAATAGCTCGCATTTCGAGATGTATTATATATGTATTATGTAGATGTATTATATGATACATACTTATTAACACCAGAGAATTTTATATTAAAATGGTTTAGAACGTTTGAAAAAAAAGTATTTTGAAAGTTTCTAACTGGTGGCACAACATTCAATTAGTCTCCATTCAAAATTACATTGCGCAACCGATAGCTTGGCACAAAACGTTTCGAAATTATCGTTAAGAAATGGCAAATAACTACTACACGGTGAACGAATGAAAGAATAGAAAAATAAAAGAGTTAAACCCCACCTTTGACATTGATAATGATGCTGGTCAATATCGAGCCATGCTTGTTGCTGGCTCGCAATTGGACGATTTGAATGTCACGTGATGTTACGTTGACCAATCGGAGGTGGCCTTTGTCAATTGATGTTCTGTTATTGGCTGGTATTGATATTGATTTTTAATTATAATTAATAGGAAATAAAGTAAAATTATTTAACCGACTATTACGATTAAGACAATAGTTACTCTACCTGGCAACACGTTACCATTGGCCATCCAAATGAGGTCAGGTGCTGGTTGACCTTGAACTTCAATGTTAAGGATGACCTCCTGACCTTCTTTGGCCTCTATGATTGGTGGGATCGATTGAATGTTCATCCAATGAGGAGGAGCTGGTTGTTGATTGGTCGATGGATTGAAAAACAAACAGATAGGGTTGGAAGTTAAAATGATTTCCTAATGCGTAGTTAATTAGTTATTTGACCATGGATCACTGCTTGGCTTGCAGTTGGTTGGTTAATTAATTGGTTTGGCAAGAATTTCAATGTTGATCAACGAACATTAAGAAATTTTTGGTAAATTTATTTCAGTCTACTATTTATTAGATAAATCCATCTTAAACAACCGGCATGATAGTAATAAAATATTAAAAATTAGTTCTCCTAACAAGATTGTAAAAGGTGGAAGTATGTTAAAACAAATTTTTCAACCAACACTCGACAATCAGCTCCAGCCTTTTCTCCATAGGATGACCACAGCCATCACCAGCGCTGCTAGCAGCTTCACACACGTAGACGCCACTGCAGTCTGCGGTCACGTGGTTTATAAACAGCTCCGTAGTGTGGAGACCTTGAGAAAGTTTGTGACCTTCAGAAGGCGAGGTCATGTTTTGAATGCCGCAGTTCAAAGGTCGGCCGTCCAGTCGCGTCCAAGTTACTGTGGGTGTTGGTCTGTTGGAGTCGTGCGTGTGTACGTGTGTTTGTGTGTATGTTTGTGTACGTGTGTGTGTATGTGTACTTGTGTGTGTACGTGTGTGTGTATGTGTGTGTGTGTGTTTGTGTATGTGTGTAGTTGTGTGTGTACGTGTGTGTACGTATGTGTGTGAGTATGTGCGTGCGTGCGCATGTGTTTGTGTGTTGTGTGTTTGTAAAATGGTATCTGCCGAAGACCCAACGATTTTACGATGGTCCTCAAAAATTATGACAATGTTAAGAATGAAGAATGCATTCAACCTTCCACTGAAGATGCACTTCAAAGTTTTGTTACCCCCTTCAATGGCGTAGTCCACTTCAGGGCTGGTCCATTTGATTTTGGTGGGTGTGCAACGTGTCTCTGAAAATTATTAAAACTGAACGGTATTATTGTTTTCATTTGATTGAAAGTAAAATAATTATATAACTATTTATTTAAAAATTTTACTGTCTAACCAATCAACATGGCAATCAAAGAATCAGCCAACCAACCAACCAACCAACCAACCAACCAACCAACCAACCAACCAACCAACCAACCATCCAACCAACCAACCAACCATCCAACCAACCAACCAACCATCCAACCAACCAACCAACCATCAAAACCTTCAGCAATGACAGGTCTGATGATGTGTCCATCACATTTTAGAAACCTATCGAGTAAATTATTCTTAACCAGGCAGACGTAATGTCTCCCGTCCATCGAGTCAGCTACCTCTACGTGGGCTATGTACAGATTCCCTGGCGAACGAAAAATATTTAGGGGTAAAAAAACAAAATTAATTTGATCGAGTGATGTGATTTATGAATAACTGGAAAAAATTGGCCAAAGGATGATGGATGAATGATCTGATGGATGAATAAATGAATGGATGGGTGAATTGATGAATGAATGAATAGATGGATAGATGGATGGATGGATGGATGGATGAATGGATGGATGGATGAAATTTTCTTATGAAAGAAATAAAGAAATAGAAGGAAGAGAACAATTTAGTTTTTGACGCTGACACCCAAGAAGATCTTTCTACATGGAGTCTTGCATGCGACCCATCCATAATTATACACATCCAACAAGTTGTCGGGGTTTAAAAATGATATTCAATCTAGGTATTTATTTCAATTTGCGTTATTGCTCTGCCTGCTTGAATGTCTCTTTGTTTGTCTGGCGGTTTATTTGCCTGTCTTCTATCTATGACAACTAACCACATACGATTCGTCCATTCGTCCGCCAATTCATCCATTCATCCGCCAATTCGTCTATTCATTCCTCAATTCATTCATTCGTTCATCCATTCATCTATTCAACTATCAGTTTATTAATCTTTCATTATAAACACATGTAGACACACACACGGACACAGCATCACACACACGGACACAACATCACACACACGGACACAACATCACATCTTTCATTTCATTCCTTCATCCATCAAACCATTCATTTATCTGACCATCTATTCATCTGTCATTCGATTTTTTTTTTATGAATTTAGGCACAAACACGCTCAATGTTACCCATCCATCCATCTATCCATTCATCCATCCATCCATCCATCCGTCCGTCCATCACTCCACTCATTTATATATCCATCACTCCGATCATCAAATCATCCATCACCACTTCGTAAGTTACGAAGTCATAAAAGCATTGTTAACCAGTGAGGTTTTTACAGCCAACATTAAACCATATCTCTCCAACATCTTTCATATTTATCCTCTTTTATTTTCTTCTTTTTCTCCCTCCATTTCTCCCACTCTCTCTCTTTCTCTCTCTTTTTCACTTTTTTTTATTCATCCTTGTTTATCTTTTTCTCTCTCTTTTTCATTCTAATTTTTCCACAACGAACATTTATTCTTCAATTTAACTTGCTTTTCGCTGCGTTTATACATTAATTTTTTGATTCTCTCTCCCTCTTTCTCTCTCTCTCTCTCTCTCTCTCTCTCTATTTACTCCTTTCTTTCTTTTTCTCATTTATCTCTCAGTTTTTTATTCGTCCATTCGTTGTTTTTGCTCCTCCACTTCTCTCTCTCTCTTTCTCTCTCTCTCTCTCTCTCTCTATCTATCTATCTATCACTCTCTTCCTCTTTCGAAATCTTTCTTCCTATCTTTCTCTCTTCCTCCATCTATCTATCTCGCTACGATGATGATGGTGACAATGATGATGGTGATGGTTTTAATGGTGATAAAAAAATATTATTGGGGAATAATAGGAACCTCTAGTCGTTCTCCGAACAATTTCATTAACTAAAGATTTCATTCATGGCACATAAAACACAGAACTATTAATACACACACGCACACGCACCCACACACACTCACCAACACACACACACACACCAACACACAAACAAACACATAAAAACAAACACACACAAACGAATGCAAAAACATATGCATCCAAGAACGCACGCACGCACACACACACACACACACACACACACACACACACACACTTGCACACACACATAAATAAAAGCCAACACATACACAAACAAACACAAAAACACATACAACATATATACTCTAAGCACGCACATACTCCACACACAAATGCACACACACACACGCGCACGCACAAACACACATACACGTACAAACACACACACGCGCGCGCGCACGAACACACATACACGAACAAACACACACACACACACAGCAACTAATTGATATCATTTTAGGAGCAGTGGGAGTTATGTAAAAACAGAGAAAAAAAATCATTCCTATAATCATTATTTCAAACTGTAAACTAGACTAACAAATACGCGCATATGTTTCTTTTTTATATGTGTGTCTGTCTGTGTATGTGTTTGTGTGCGTCTATACGTATGAGTACTGTGTGTGGAGTGTGTGTGTGTGTGCA